CTTGCAGAAGAAGGGCCTGATCCTTCGGCCAGAGAGCGCGTCGGCGCTGCTGCACCTCCCCCTACCCGCTCCACGTCCTCGTCATCGAAGAGCTGGTTCTGCAGACAAGCGGCGGCCACCGTCGGGGCCCTCAGGCGCTGCACCAGCTCGCCTAAGAAGACGTCCACCACCAGCTTGGCGACGTCGCTCTCCGCCTCCAGGGAGGGCGAGGGCAGCTGGCTCAAGGTGGGGTCCACGTAGCCCGAGGCCTCGAAGCCGCCCCGGGCCAGCGCCTGGCAAAACTCTTGGCACAAGCCGGGCGGGCGAGCGGCGGCGGCGGCGTTCTCCAGGGCGCGCAGCAGCACCTCGGCGGCCTCGACGTTCCCTCGGGCCCCGGCCGCCGCTCGGATGCGATCCTTCTCCTCGCGGCTCAAGGAGGGCATCCAGTCGAGCACTTGGGTCACCTGGATGGTCTCCTTGATCCTGCGCCTGAAGCAGTGGATCAAGTAGAGGATGGTTTCGTCGCTCGACGGGCTGGTCGCCGTTTCCATGGCGAGCGACCCTCGCCTCCGCCTTCTTGCAAACCGGGTCTCTCCCTCTCGCTTCGTTCCCCCACGAGCGCTTTCCTGGACGTGAAGCGGGCGAAGGCTCCCTTCCTCGCAACAACACAAGCGCCCGGCCTCTTGCCGGACTAGCCCCTGGAAGAGACCCGGAGCAACCCCCACGCCGCTCCCTTCGCTTCCCTTTGCCTCGCCTGGCACTGGCCGGTCGGCTCCGCCGGGCGCTTATTATTAAAGGCGGCAGTTTCAGTTTCTATTCCCGCCGGGGCGTCGCTTTCCAAACGTAAAACGCGCTCCCTCGAGTTGCTGGGAGGCTTCCCGGTTGAGTTTCGTTTTGTTGACTCGCCGCAGAAAAGGCTAGATTTGCATCATGCTTTTTTGTTTATTTCCCACACCTTGGATAAACGGTGTACTCCTTGGCACGCAGTCTCTTAGGAGAACGCTGTCGTCTCCTGAATTGGGTTCAGATCACCCCGCAGTTTTTAGGATGCTGCAAAGAAAGGGGTTCTCTGGCCCTAAGACCAAGTCGCCCAATTTTATGTTGTGAGGACACCTTTACGAGGCCCAGTAAAAAGGAACAGAAACCTCTGTTCAAACGTTGGGGATAAAACAAAAATCTCTTCCTCAGGTGTTATGGTACGAAAAAACAAAGGGAGGGGGGACTCTGAGGAACCATGGTAGTGGCAGTATGGTCTGCATGTATGTTGTGTTAGGGTGTAAAAGAAAATAAAATGGCGGACATTACAGCGGGCTGCCCTCGGTGTTAGATCTCAGCCTTAATGGCTGGGAACAAGAAAAATGTATCAGATAAAAAGCTTCAGATCCTGAAGCTGAGGCTCCAGTACTTTGGCCATCTCATGAGAAGAAAAGAGTCCTTGGAAAAAACCTTGATGTTAGGAAGGTGTGATGGCAAGAGGAGAAGGGGACGACCGAGGATGAGATGGCTGGACAGTGTCTGCGAAGCAACCAACATGAACCTGACACAACTCCGGGAGGCAGGAGGGCCTGGCGTGCTCTGGTCCATGGGGTCACGAAGAGTCGGACACGACTAAACGACTAAACACAAAAAGCTATAAAATTTGAATATCCATTTTGAAAATGCAACAACACCCCCCCCCTTGAAGCCCCAACCTGCCTTTGAGACCTTAATGGTGTTCTCAGTCATGACAGTATAAATCATAATAAAAATAATCCTCAGAACTGCAGAGCTGGGAAGAGATCCAATGGATCGCTGAGTCCAGCCGATGTGGAGGCACAGTGGGGAATCGAACTCTCAATCTAAGACACTGAGCTATCCAACAATTATTCCTTTGTTTATGGACATTTATTTGGAAGTTATGTCCTGGTTCCATTGAGTGAAATTTGACTGACTGCTTACTAAAGTATGTCAACTCTGGGCAGTGGTGCCCTAAAGGTGGGACTCCAGGAAGACGTATGGGGGTGAAATACTGTAAGTGGAGGGCCCCACTTCACAGAATAAGCAGGATGTGTCCTTACCCTGTCAGGCCTGTTTTGTCCTACAGAAAGGGATGTCATGCCCCTTCTCTACCACCTAAGACCAGAAACTAAATTTACTGTATAGCTGGGACCTTCTCTACCACCTAAGACCAGAAACTAAATTTACTGTATACCATAGCTGGGAAGCTCCAGTGCTGGATATGGACGTAAGACTGCTGTTGGCGTTTGAATCAAGGGTAGTAGTGCCTGAATTCTAAGTGCACAGTGAGGACAATGTTATACAACAGTTTTGCAGGGTTAAAAAAAATTGTGTACTTTGCTGTAGTTTTCACAATTTTTATTTCGCTGTCAGCTGCAAATTCAGCTTATTGTTTGACTAGTATGACTCTACCTACATACATAGCCATAGCCATCCCAGAGAGGCTTTCCTGGGGAAAGCCTTATTGTTTCATAAGCAGGATGTGCCCTTACCCTGTCAGGCCTGTTTTGTCTTGTCCTACAGAAAGGGATGTCATGCCCTTCTCTGCCACCTAAGACCAGAAACTAAATTTACTGTATACCATAGTTGGGAAGCTCCGGTAATGGATATGGACGTAAGACTGCTGTTGGCATTTGAATCAAGGGTAGTAGCGCCTGAATTCTAAGTGCACAGTGAGGACAATGTTATACAATAGGGTTTTGCAGGGTTAAAAAAAATTGTGTATTTTGCTGTAGTTTTCACAATTTTTATTTTGCTGTCAGCTGCAAATTCAGCTGCAAAAAACAGCGGGGAGCCATTTTATTTACCCAGCAGCCATTTTGAAACCGCCGATCAGTTGGAGGAAAATCATCATTTTGGGAAGAATTGGTTCCCGAAGCAGGGAACCGATCATCGCAAAGTGAAAAACCCCCATTCAGACCATTGTTTTGCGATCACAAAAAGATTGTCGTAATGCACTTTTGTCGTAATGCGGGGCAATTGTAAAGCGAAGCACCACTGTATCAGGCAAATATTTATCAGGGTTTGGTTTTTTTCATTTCTAACATACTAGTAATTTTAATGTGCATATTTTAAAACCATGCTAAATATACATATGTACATAATTTTGCTTAGAAGGTTTACTTTTGTCGTAATGCGGGGCAATTGTAAAGCGAAGCACCACTGTATCAGGCAAATACTTATCAGGGTTTGGTTTTGTTCATTTTTAACATACTAGTAATTTTAATGTGCATATTTTAAAACCACCTTAAATATATTCTGCCGCATTGTGCAGCAACCAGAAGAAGATTACATGACTGTAAAATAAAACATCCCCTGAAAATAAGCCCTAATGCATTTTTGGAGCAAAAATTAATATAAGACCCTGTCTTATTTTCGGGGAAACACAGTAACATTAGGTAGGCATGGTAAGATGTTTGCCCCATATCAGCAAAGCTGACTAGTGGAGGCATCAGTAAATAATTCTTTGCCCTTTGGGAAGAAGTCACATCTACAATTTTTATTCTAAGAAAATAAAGTGAGATGTGGGGTAACATGAAAGGGCAACACATTGTTTATTTAATTTGTCTGTTGTATTTTCACTACTAAGGAAAGGAAAAGTTACTTTTAAAATTCTTTCTGCCTCATATTTTAACATTAACTTGTCTGGTTTTGGATAATATCCCCTTAAGTTTGCTGCTTTTTCCTGTTCTATCTCAGACACAAAAAATTCTTCAGCTGGCCCTACTCATTTGTATTATATTGATATGTCATTAAGAATTTCTAATTTCAGTATTCACCCATTTAAGGAGAATTGGGTTTTCTTCAAGAAAAAAAGACAATACACTTCTTTAAATTGCACAGGGCTGAACAGCATGGCTTTGATTAGACTTACAAATAAATAAATATTTCAAAAAATAAATATTCAATATTTGTCTCCAGGAAGTGGCTTGAGAAAAGTGGGTCTCCGATTTACAGAGGTCCCCATTGTTGACAGCAGCTTGGCCAGCCCTGTCTCTTGGCACCATAGCTCCACCTGGTGGCTGGGGCAGTTCTGGGGCATGCAAGGAGGTTAATCAACTACTGTACAGTGGTGCCTCGCTTAATGAGCGCTTCGTTTAACGATTAATTTGCTTAGCGATTACTTTTTCGGAGCATTTTTGTGCTCCGTTTAATGATGTTTCCTATAGGCGATTTTTGCTTAGTGATTTCGGGACCATGCTTCACATAACACTTAAGTTTTTGGGTCCCCTGTTTCACTTAACGATAGTTTAACAGCCTCATGTTTGCTGTTTTTTAAATGTTATAAAGTTAAAGTTTACTGTGTAAAATGTTTGAAATCATAAATTGCACTTAATAAACCCTTTGTTAACCAAATTTGACTTTGTTCTGACTCTTTTTTAATTTGTTGTTGAATTTTTTCCCCCATTGAGATGCATTGAATGGATTTCAATGCATTTCAATTGGGGAACCGCGTTTCGCTTAGTGATGTTTCCTATGGTGATTTTCGCTTAAGGACGGCAATCTGTTCCTGTTGGAACGGATTATCCAGTTTTCAATGCATTTCAATGGGAAACCGCGTTTCGCTTAGCGATGTTTTCCCATAGCGATGATTTTTTTGGAACCAATTAAAATCGTTAAGCGAGGCACCACTGTATATGCTTTATAGTTACATTTTTGGGGCATAAGAGTTATGCACAGAATTAGAACTACACAGGGATCCTAACCTCAGCATCGTTGGAGGGAGAAGTATATCTTTTCTTAAGTAAAAGTAGAATGAAAGATTAGACCTAACCGAATTGAAAGAACAATAAATTAGCATTTAATTTCATCCAAATTAGATTTGCCGTTTGTATTAAATTATTCAAGATAAGGCTGATAGGAGGATGACCCTCTCATTCAGCCTCATAATAAGGAAGCCAAGTATGAGTCTAGAGGAAAATGTACCTTATTGGGTTATAATAGAGTGGGGTCTCGACTTACGGAATTAATCTGTATTGGAAGGCAGCCCGCAGGTCGAAAAGTTCGCAGGTCGAATCTGTATTTCCCATAGAAATGCATTTAAAACCATTTAATCCGTATCTGCTGTTTTCCATCCACAGAAACTAATGGGAAGCTGCTATCCTGCATTCTACCACTAGAGGGGGATATTTTTTCTTTTTTTTTCCTTAGGTCAAGAAAAGTTCAGGAAAGGGGGGAGTTTTAAAAGCACTCTTAAAATCGTTTTTTCAACTAAGCCAATTTTAAACACAGAGACAGGAGTCTGGAATTCACCTTAGCCCAATCTTTGCAAGCCAGCATTCTGACCCACAGAATTCAGCAAAAAGACAGGCGGGACTCTGGAATTCACTTTTTCAATCAAACCAAGCCAAGCCAAGCCAAACCAAGCCAAAGGCAGGAAAGGAGGGAGGGAGAGAACAATAGGGAAGGAAGGAAGGAAGGAAGGAAGGAAGGAAGGAAGGAAGGAAGGAAGGAAGGAAGGAAGGTCATTACTGGAACACACAGACCCCTCAGACAAAGGTTTGTGCTTTGAAGCACAAAGAGAGAGAGAGAGAGAAGACAGGGGGAGAGTTTTTGGAGGCTAAAACACACATTTCAAACAAAACACATTTTAAGAACATTTTTTAAACCAGCAACTTTTAAACCAAACACAGTTTTACAGGAACAAAGCAACTGTTCAACCAACCAACCAACCACCCTGGGAAAGCCTGCATTGGCAGGGTGGGGACGTCCGTAAGAGGCCTTGAGCAGTGGCAGGGAAGCCCTCGGGGGCCTCAGGCAGCGGCCATGGCCCCCTGGAAGGCTTCGA